ACACCTGAAAAAATCAATATTCCCTGGGAATACAAGGCTACAAAGCTTAAAACCCATCATCTTTTGCCTTCTCCAGGAAGGAGTCTTCAGGCCCACCAAGTCCCCACATAAAACTCCCATCTTAGCAGTGAAAAAAGGATGCAATAATTACTGCCTAGTAGCAACATAAAAAAGGATGCTCTGTCCTTTCTGGGTTTGGTCAGCTACTTTTGTTTGTGGATTCCCAATTTCAGTCTCCTTGCCAAGCCCCTATACAGAGTATTATACGGTGCCCTCGAGGAGCCCCTAGACCCTTCTAAGCCAATTAAAGCCCCATTCGCCAAACTCAAGGAGGCTTTGCTGAGGGCTCCAGTACTTGGAATTCCAACTACTTCTGGCCTCTCACCTCCTACCTTCATCACAATTAGACCTAGTTATAAAAGGATGGCTCCCTTTCCTAAAGACCCTAGGAGCAGCAGCCCTCTTAACATTTGAAGCGCACAAAAATTTACACTAAACCAACACATAACCATCCTATCTACCCACAATCTCCAGGAACTCACTAGCCATCAGGCTCTCTTAACTCTTCCCAATAAAACAGCTCCACTGTTTTCATGTCTGAAATCCCCTTATTGCCTTTCAGAGCCAAAACCTCATGACTGAGGAGGAGATCCCACCACCTACCCATTCATGCCTAGACCTCATAGAACCCCTCCTCCCACATATGCCCATCTCTCCCCAACTCCTCTACAGGGTGCCCTCTTCTGGTTTATAGATGGCAGCTCCTTTAGAGACCTTAAACCAGCAGTAGGATATGCCATTATAGATTCTATATTACCAAGCTGCTGGAAGCGATGGCTCCTCCCCACCTCACCACAACCCAACAGGTAGAATTGACCGCCCTTACTAGGGCATTAATTTTAGCTAAAGACAAAGAGATCAACTTATACACGCAATCAAAATATGCCTATCACATCGTACATTCCCATGACTCATTTGGCAGGAAAGGGGCTTCCTTGCAGCCAAGGGAATCCCTATCATTAATGGTCCCTAGATCCACAAATTACTAGAGGCTCTCAAATTCCCTAGGCCACCATCCATTTTAAGGACCACCAGAGATCCACATATTTTATCTCCCTCAATAACTCTCAGGCAGACACTGCAGCTAAGACTGCTGCCCAGAGTGCTTCATCACCTAACACCCTTGCAGAAGGATTACCCCTTACCCCCATACTCTCCATCTTTCCCACCTTCACCTCCACTACACAACAGCTGAACACACTGTTCTCACCTGGGTGACAGGTATCCAAACCGATGGCTGGTTCTTTCTTGACCACAAGGTGGTCATTCCCTGGGCTCTGGAATACCCCATTCTTTCACATCTCTATACACTCTTTCACTAGGTATACAAGCCCGATTCATCTGTTACAGGCCCACCTAACCTCTCCCTCTATAGCCTATTCTTAAACTGATCTCAGTCTTGCCTTATTTGCTACTAGTTATCCCCTCAGGGAAATCTAAGCCCTCCACCCTTCCCCACACACTAGGGGTGAGGCAGTCTGCTGAGCAAGACTGGCAAATTGATTTCACCCACATGCTCCCAGCCAACTGACAAAAATACCTGCTCACCATGGTAGATACCTTCCTAGGGTGGATTAAGATATTTCCCACTTCTACAGAGAAGGCAAAATAAGTTACTAAGGCTCTCCTAACCCTTATCACCCCTTGGGAACCCCGCAGTCGTACAATGGCACTGCCTTCATCTCTGCTATTACCCAGCAGCTGCTCAGGTGCTTGGCATTAAATGGATAGTCCACATTCATACAGGCCTCAATCTTCTGGTATGGTAGAAATGGCCAATGCCTTCCTAAAACAGCAATTGACCAAACTGTCTTTTGAACTTTTGCTTGCCTGGCCCTCCATCTTGCCTACTGCTCTCACCTGCCTTAGACTCCGTCCCAGCAAACCCTTAGATTTTATTCCCTTTGAACTTACTCTATGGACATCCTTTTGTCCTTCACCACATATCCCACTCCTCCACCTCGCTTTCCCCAGGGGACATTTGGCACACGCTCCACTTTTCTCAACAACGACTTAGACAATATGCAGACACCCATTTTCCTAAACCCTCCTCTGACCTCCCGGCTCAGTCTCCTGTCATACAGCCATGAGATTGGGTCTGCATTGCTGATTACTCAACACTACAAAAGCCTAAATAGTAAGGGCCATACCAGGTAATTTTAACTATGCCCACGGCGGTCCTGGTTAAGGGGCTACCACATTGGGTCCACCATACCCAATTTTTAAAAAGTACATCAAGGCTGGCCCCCGAATAACCCGACAGAGGTTCTCAAGCAACCCCATTGCCTCCCACACCTAAGTATTTCTCTTACCCCACTGAACTCACCTCACTCCACTTGACCAGGATTGCTGAGACATCCTGACCCACACATGTGTCTGACATACAATGGACAGCTGGGGACAGTGGTTTTCCTCTGCTAAGTGGATGCCATGGGTAACCCCTCTTGCTGGCTGGGACCCCTTATCTTTTTTTCTCACTCTGCTATCAGACCTTGCCTCATTCAAACCCTTTCTTTCTTTGTTTCCCAGAGGCTCCAGGCATTTGTCAGGACATCACCCATAGGCAGGTCAACTCAGTTTTGCTCCTCCAACAGGCCAGCTACAGTCACCTAAAGCAAGAAGACCCTGCAGATACTCTTTCCCCTTAAGAGACCTTGACATCCCCATTAGCAGAAATAGATAGAGGAACATAGGCACCCCATTCTCTTTTGAGGTCTAGCTATCAATCTATTTATCTATCTATCTATCTGTCTCAGATAGGAATGTTAGGGTAAACAAAAAGGAAGCCATGTTAGGATTGGACCCTCTCCCCCCACCCCCCTTGCAGGCAGCTTACTGGAAACAACCCATCATCTACTGGAAGGACCACACTGAGCCTCAAGGAAATGACAAACTCTCACCTCGCAGGGGGTCCGAAGCTAAGCAACTTATCTGCCCAATTATCACTTATCTCCTCTAGCTTCCCCTAGCAAGCCTTAACTCCACTCCAAAAAAATTTTCTGCCCAGCAAAATTTTCCCTCCAGACCCCTCCCCTATATCTACTCCAAGTCTGTAAGCGGCAATGGGGTTCTGGCTTTGGCTGGATACTCCCCTTCACAAGGCTTCTTTCTGAATAATGAGCCCTGTGCTGCTGGAGTTTCAACTGTCTCCTGCCTATTTATTCTGTGCCTCTTTCAGTCTAATAGATACATCATTTCCAACTCTTCCTTCTTGAACTGGAGATGTGGCTCAAGCTGTAGAGGTCTGCTTTGCAAGTGTGAAGCCCTACCTGAGTTCAAATCCGAGTCTCACCACAAAGAAAAAAAAAAAAGAAAATCCTACTCTTTCTCTTGAACTTAACATGGAGATTTGTGTGTGTATGCGTGTGTGAGTCTATTATTTAAAAAAATTTCTTCAACTAAATCCAAACCATTCCATCTTTATGCTGTCACCCAGTCTTCAATGACCCCCTTATCAATGCCTTTCCTTTCTGACCTTACTTCTTTCTACCTACAATCTAAGCTAATTCTTCTGAATAAGTCAAAGAATTCCCTTTTTCTTTGCCATGTCTACTTCCTGCAACAGAAAATTCACCAATTTACTAACAAATGATTGGCAATTGTTATATAAGGCTAAATAGGAGAATAAATCTTCCAGAAGTTCATAATAAAACATGTTGTGGGGCAAGAGAAAAGCTCAAATAATATCCTTAATTGCCTTAACCATCAGTCAGGTGGGGCACAGGGGTATAGGCAAAGTCTCCTGATGTTCACTGGAAAGAGACTTCCTCAGAGGGATCAGAGAAGCCTTCATCTGAGGTATGCTTAAAGCATTTGAACAGGCTTTTTCCAGTTTCCATAAGGGTAGAGACCATGTCTGCTTTAATCACTAGTATACAGTATCCTTTGCACAGTACCTTCCAAGTGGTGGTCATACTGTGTCTGTGGAGGAGGAGAAGCTGAAAGGAGTCTATGTGTTTACTCTGTAATTCCTAATTTTATTTCTTGATTTAGGAACTGCAGGTAGTTTCTGTCTTCCTAAACTTGGTCTACAGATGCCCTCACCACAAAATATCTCCATACGTCATGGCTCCAGAGATGAGAAGTACCACTGCCCCTTACCTAAAAAGGAGGTAACTACTTCCTTCAGCTCTTCCCCAGTTGTCTTTGCAGATTGGGCCCTTGGAGACTGAAGGCTGGTCTAGGAGTGCCTCATTATGCTATGCCATACAGAGTTATGCCACCTCTGAAGCTTGGAGTGTCAGGTGCTGGAGCCTAAAACTCATGAATAACATATTAATAAACATGTTTAGTCCTGGTTCTGCTACTACATACTAGTGGCAAATTAGTGAACCTCTCTGTGCTTCTGCCCCACCTTTGAAATAGAATATTTACTTGCACAAGGCTGTTGTGGAGATTAAGTCAACTAATTAGTGCATGAAATGTATTTACCAAACTGTTAATCGTGGCATAGTAATGGTGAGGTTGAATAAAACAATTCACCCCAGGTTCAGCAAGCAATAAGGGGTACACTAGTTGTAGAGAATTTGTGAATAACAAATCTACTGATAAAATTTTGTATTATCACCATACATCAGCAATTCTAGGCAACATCAGTGATGCAATTACTCAGTCACACTATGGTGAACCATTCCCATTACTTCCTCCCTTGGTATATCACTGGTACTAGATACATAATAGGCTAACAGGAATTAAGGATTTATACAAAAATGAAAAAGGAAAAGAAAATGCATGATGCAAGATGCCCAAAACATGTAATGATATACACATAGAAATAATGTTTTGCAAGTGTTTATTCGGGACCCCAATTTTCATCTCACAGCTCCAAACTGAAAAGTTGACTTAAACCTATGCTCAAGCAACACTTATTTTCTTTTAATGGCATCACTGAAAAGCATGCCTTTGAGTCACCACAATCCAGTTTGCTGACATGGTCTTACCGCTACTGATGAACAGGTCAACCAGTTGTTCCTTAGAGAAACCAGCATCCACTTCTGCTCTCACTATTTCACAGGAGAATCCTGCAGCCATTTGTCTATGCTGTGATAAGAAAACAAGTAATTGGTTCTATATACTTCCCAATTTTCAAAGCAAAGAAGATGGTATGATAGTAATCAATACCTTCATGCAGAGTGCAAGTTGATGTGCTATGTAGTCTTGCAAGCTTCCTTCTGGGCCATGGAAAATGACATTATGATACTGCTCGACCTGTTAGCAAACCAACAAGAGTCCTTAGGTGAAGATGCTACATGGAAGAGAGGAAAAAGTGATACAAAGGGTAGAATTCCCCTTCTAATTGTTCCCAGACTTTTAAAAGATCGGAAATAATATTTTAGAGATTAGCTTTATTCACTAGGCACTTGAAGTCTTTCATTTAATGTGAAACATGAACAAACAGTATTTGACAAGAGCTAATATTTTATGGAAAAGATCATTTGCTTTCTACTATTTTCTATAGGAGGTTCAGTACTGTAGCTGAGAAACACAAGTTCCTACTGAATTTTGTCTCTTGTAGATGCTTTTTACTTTGAATTTTCTGTTTATCTTGCTTTTTAGTGTCTATAAAGGCATTGCACTAAGGAAGATTTGGAAAATGCAAAGGAAGAAAACAAAGTAGCATAAAAGTCCTTGACAGTGTCAGCGCCCAGAAGCAACCACTATAATAAGTACTTTGTTTCCTTCTAATTATTACAGTTATTAGTAGATGTGAATGTGTGTGTGTGTGTATTCATGTTTTTGAAGGAAAGATACATGAGTGAGATCTTTTCACAGCCATTGTATATCAGAGAATATCTTTGTGCTGGTGTTTTGGATAAAAGACCTTTAGATGAGTATGAAGCTCCTGGATTAACTTTATATATTATTCCATTCCAGAATTCAGTGTTTCAAAGAAATCTAGGTGGAGAGAGATCACATTGTAAAAAGGAAACCTCCTACCTAGATGCCTTTAGGATTTTTTTTAACTTTTATCCAACATGTGGAGATTCAATATGCCCTGGAATAGAAAGCCATGTATCATCCACACATGGCAGACAGCAGTATCTTGAGCAAGATGTGGAAAGAAAGTCATCCTCTCATTTCTGTCATCCCAGAGCTGAGCCTTCATTCCCAGCATGCAAACATGTTACCATATTTTTTTTCCTACAGAAAACAATCTGGATAGGTGCTAATCCAACCTAATGGATACCATCAATATTGCTCAAGTGTAAAGACTGAGCCACTCCAATGTACAAAGGTATCAAGCATAAAAGGGTCTGTTTGTTCTATAATTTGGAATGGGATAATGTAAGAACATATATGTGTGTCTTATTGTGAGCTGATGAGGATGTCCTTTTAAGATCAAAGGAGAAGGACATAAGCTTGATGGTAGTTGGGTGGACTTCTATAAAGACAGTAAATATGCCTCTGGGCCCTTCATTATAAGAAGAAGCAGATTCTGGAATATAAAAAGAAGGTTTGAGGGAAAGCTTGGAAGGAAGAGGGAACTCCTTATTTACCTAGGGTCTTTAATACATGGGCTTTGTCCTCCAAGGAGATCAAGACATGCCTGCAAGAACTACAGGAAAGTAGAAGAAAGCCAGGCTTGATGACCAGGTGTTCAATTGTGAGCCAAGGAAGGAAGTATCCTTTCAGGGGTCCCTTGATGATGAGCTTGGACTGAGTTTTAGGGTCTGAAAGATGACATATTGGAGCCACTAATGATTTTTTTTGAAATTAAGTAACATCCTAATATGGGTAAGTTTTCAATAAAAGACTGCAGCTGCCCAAGAATCTCAGTATCCTAAAGTCACAGAATGAACTCAGCTTGTTCTCTGAGGTATTAGTGGTCTGTAAGCCAAGCAATGGTGGAGATGCAGGCAAAGACCAAGACTGGAGCAGGGGCTTTCCTAGAGACACAAGAGAGAAGAACATCCTAAAAACTGAGGGTCAGCTTTCAAGGGTAAAGGCTATGGTACCAGAAGATTTCAGTGGTAAATTATAATTAAAGAATTATTATTCAAGAATAACCTGTTCTCATTCATATTTATGAGATGGAGAAACCTGGAGGATTTCTGAATTATACATGTCATTAAAAAATGTTACCCAGGTTTTCTACAGATCCAGGCCTTCTTCTACCATCCTAAAATGGAATATGCAGTCCAGTCTTTTTTGGCTTAGAGAATTTTTCTTTCATTATGTTTTTGGTAATATCTCCTCTTTTGGTTTTATTTGTTTCTCTCTTTGTAGGAATGTCTGTCATTACTGTTATCATAATTCTGTTCTTCTCTTCTACATTCTGGGACGGCTCCTTACTTTCAGTCTTACACAAGGCTGAACAGATTTGTTCACTATCTCACTTCAGCTTTTTATTGTATAACTTTATGCCATTTAATTTTTAGTTACTATAGTTCCTCACCACATTAACTCCTTGCCAACAGTGTTCTTTATAAGCTTAGCCCAGACTCTACTTTGGCTTTCTTGACCTACTTTCAGTCTTACCTTCTCATACTCTACACAGAATGAATATCATTTTCCATGCCATTTGCCACTGTTCTTGTTATTGAATGTTTATATCCCGTCCACACTAATTCATAAATTGAAATACTAACTCCTGGGGTGATGATATTTGGAAGTGGAGCTGAAAGTGATTAATACCCTTATTAAAGAGACTTGAGAAAGATCCCTTGCCCCTCCCATCTCATGAGGACACAGGGAGAAGGAACCATCTGTGAACCAGGAGACAGTTCCTCACTAGATATTGAATCTGCTGGTGCCTTGATCTGGAACTTCCCAGACCCCAGAACTGGTAAGAAATAAATTTCTCGGCACTTGAGGTGCCCTTTACAGTTTTTCTATTGTTTTCGGAAACGGTTGAACGATGTTAGTGAAACCTGACTGTGGTGTGAACATTAGATAAGTTAAAATTGCCCTTATTAATTATGAAAATAATGGCATTATGTAGAAAAACACTTATTTTTAAAAAACTTATGCCTACTGAGGTATTTTGGATTGAAACTGTATATGTGTACCTGCAGTTATAACTTTTCAGTCGAAACAATTAGGCAAAACAGGGCGAAGTGTTTTTTAATAAAAATACATCCAGGACATAGGTGTATATGGCTACTTATTTCAGTGTCCTGATTTTCTCTTTGAAACTTCTTGTAATACAAAGAAATTTAAAGGAAACGTAGACAAAATTATGTATGGCTTTTCCTCCACCAGTGTCTTTTAACCTGCTGAGTGAAATCAAGAATACTGTGAAATGTAAATTGCAGGGTTGTTAAAACCACACTTTTCCCTTCTCAGGATCCAAGGGGTACCAAAGAATTAACTTGACATGGTAGATTAACAGGGGAACAGCATACAAATTTAATACAAGTTTTACATGACCCAAGAGCCCTCATGAGGAAATAGCAAAACTTAGGATGCTTTTGCATTGGGTTGAACAAAGAGAGGCAACCGTGGAAAAGTAAAGTATGTGGGAGGCCAAAGGAAGATAAGAATTATTTTAACAAGGTCTGTTTGTGTAGAAAATTCTCTTGACTTTGACCCTCATGTGAAAAGTGTCTTTTTTTCTCCTGGTACTGGGAGAGTATCTTCCACATGGGAATTCTAATCTGTTCTCTAGAAGACAAGGGAGATCAGAATGCCCATCCTGTAGCTGCTGTTTTCCAAGTGCCTTTAGCATGATGTAGTCCTTACATCAAAGTGGCATAATTTGGGGGTGGCATAATAGCTTATCCTTCCAAATAAAATGGTAGGGCTGGGGGCCTGGCTCAAGTGGTAAAGTGCTTGCCTAGCAAGAAGCCCTGAGTTCAAGCCCCAGTACTTCCAAGAAATAAATGAATAAATAAATAAAATAAAATAAAATAAAATAAAAAGAAATAAATTTCTCTCCTAGTCTATGATACTGTTGTAGCAGTTTGAATAGACTAAGGCACAGGTAAATAATTTTTATGGTGTATTCTTCCCCTGAGTTCTCAGAATGACAACTGTTTTACAGTATTCTTCCAAAGGTGTTATTGTGCATATGCTGTGATACCACTGGAGGAATTCTGTAATAAAGCAGGGTGTGTGGCCCACTACCGGTTTTGCTCACTCTCTACTATTTTTCTGGCAGCATCTTTCCTTAGGTGACTGTGAGGGTGGCAGCTAATGTCTATAATTGCTTGTTAAATTCTAATACAAGCAATGGCTGCAGTGGAATAAACTCCCGCTGCCCAACATGGCTGACAGATGCACGAAAATAAATTGCAGCCTAGCTGTTTCTGTCTCCATCCGCACTGAGAGTTCTTATGGGTAATTCAACTCTCAGGACTCAGCTCAATCTCACCAATCGCCTTGCAACTTTTTGCTACGGTATTTCTAGGAGTTAAATTCTCTAAATGGATGTGGAAGGGCTTGCATTGGACATGAGTGCAAGCTCATAGTTCTGCAAAAGCATAGACTATCTGCCCAGTTTTCCAACTAGTATAAATCTTGGCTTTTTTTGTAACTATTATAAAGATGGTAAGGGAAGATGGACAGTATTTTCCTACCTAATTTCAGGGAGGCCTCATGTAAGTAGGCCGAGTATTCTGTTGCCCCTAAAGGTAATATAAAAATTTTCTTGGCTCTGTTTCTTCTTATCATGAGGCTCTTTTGTCATTTTCAAAAGTATTTTAGTAAGTGGCCCAAACAATGTATACATATATGAATAAATGAATAAATAAAAAAAGTATTTTAGTGGGAAATTGTGCATGAGGTACTGCTACTAGGTACAATTTTAAACCAGAACTCCTGAGCTTGCCAAATTAATCCCAACTTGCTATGCATTATTGGATAGGAATCCTCTCACAAGGAGTGAATTGTTTCACACCAGTGAAACAGGATACAGATTTTCAAGATTTACAGAATATTCTACCCCTGAGATTTTCAGCTAGCACTCCAATTTAATTTTATTTCACTTCTGAAAACAAGAATGCTCTATTCATTATAGCCATCCTGTCAAACTGCCTGGACTTCCTGAAGACTGATTTTGAAATCATATAGCAAGAGACCCAACTTCATAGATAAGCTGTCTTCATTTCCAACATCTCATTTGTTCTCAGATTGTACATTTTCAGGAGAAACAGGAAACATTCAATTTAAAATTTCGTTGAAAAGGCTACTTACTAGCAGTAAGCCCTTTATGTTTATATAGTCTAACATCCTTTGTGGGAAATGGCAGACTACAAATAATTAAGTGA